CCACTGTGTTCGACCCAGCCCCACTGCAGGCAGCGGCGCACAGCAGCATGGAGCTCTGGGGGGCCTACTTGCTTCTGTGCTGCTTCTCCCTCCTGGCCCAGGTCACTGCCGAGACCCCGAACCCCAAGGTCAAGAAGGCTGCAAATGTCAAGAAAGGTAAGGAGCAGGACAGGGCCCTCCCCATCTTCAGGGAGCAGGTCCCCCTCTCCTTCTTGTGTCCTCATGCTCCGTCCCCTCATTTTCCTCCTTGATGGGTCCTCTAGGGAACTTTAGTAAAGTACCCACTGAAACCTGAGGCTGGGGGTGGGGAGGGTTTCTCTGATAGCAGGGCAGGGTGTGAGAACCATAAGGATCCCTCACTCTCAGAGTCAGAAGGAACCTTCCAGATCATCTAACTGACCTCTGCTCTCCTCCTCACCCACCCCAAATATTTTAAAGAAACCAAACCTTGGGCTTGGCAATCTGAGGATGCTCTATCTCACCAGGCAATACTACAAGGGCTGTGCTTTGTAATCTCCAAACCTCAGTTTTCTCAACAGTGAAATGGAGACACTAGTATCTGCTCATAGGCTTGTTGTGAAGATTTTGTTACAAAATATGTAAAGGCACCCCGGTGATACACCTGATGCCCAGGGGGCAGATACACATTATAAATAAAAGGAACAAATGAACTCTCAGTTCCACAGTGTATCACAGCCTCCAGGAAATAAAAATGTTTGAACTGTGTACCAGAGGCTGCTTTGCTCTCCTCTATAGCCTTTGGGGTTTGGGGTGTCCTTGGGTCGCCTTGGCTGCAGCAAGACCAGCTCTCGCAGCCCCGCCTGTAGTGAGGTCACTCCAAGCTGTGTTGAGACAACAGCAGTGGAATGCCATGGCAATAACCTGGCTGTCACCCCCATGGGGATCAGAGACAAGGAGAGAGGGTTCCAGGGGATAAGGGTGGGGATTTAGACAAAGAAACAAATGGCCAGGACCAGCAGCAAAGAAAAGGGAAGAAAGGGCTGTGGGGGTTTCCCTCAGACCCTCCCTGAGGCTTTTCTATAAATTGACAGTTAACCACCAGCTGGGAACTAGGGAAGTACACAGAGATACAGCAGAACCCCAAACTGGCTTCTAGCCCCAGAGGCGGGGACAAAAAATGGGGCAGATCTGGGTGCTGATAGGGGATCCTCTCTAAGATTGCACAAAGTGAACAAAGCAAAGTTCCTAACAGAATGAATACTACGCTGATGACTGCTTTGAAAAGGGGATTTAAAATTTTTTCTGGAAGGATCCACAAGAGTTAGCGACAGTGATTAACAGTGGGAAGAAAATTTGGGAGACTAGGGACTGTTCCAGCTGGGAGGGAACTGTTTGGATTCTTTTATTTTTTGAGACAGAGCCTCAAGCTTTCCCCCTGGGTAGAGTGCTGTGGCATCACAGCTCACAGCAACCTCTAACTCCTGGGCTCAAGCGAGTCTCCTGCCTTAGCCTCCCAAGTAGCTGGGACCACAGGTGCCCAGCCATTTTTTGGTTGCAGTCATCATTGTTGCTTTGGCAGGCCGGGCTGGATTGGAACCTGCCACCTTAGGTGTATGTGGCTGGCACCTTAGCCACTTGAGCCACAGGTGCCGAGCCTTCGATTCTTAAAAGTCCTATGCATTTACTGCCTTCCACACAGTGTTCATGTAAAAAGAGAAGACAGTACCAGGCACCGTTATGTCTATGAACGTTAGTCAGAGGTGTCACCAAGGGACATTCCTTGTAATGCAGATAGCTCCAAAGACAATGGAATTTTCAAATGTTGAAAATAGTTGCCAATTTCTCAAGTTTACCAAAGATTTAGTATTTACATATGCAGTTATGTAGTCCCTATATTCAAACATGTAAAAAAGAAGTGGGTCAGAGTATCTGACACCTTGGTTCTCTCCAGCTGTCCCATTCAAGCCCTGGCCCTAAGTGGTCTCTGTGGAGGACCCCTGTGGGTCCAGGGCTCTGGAGGCCTTCAGGACAGCCAACAGGGCCCCACAGTGGAATGGCCACCCAGTCCTGCCTCTGGCTGAAACCTCTTCCGTGTTCTGACTCAGCTTGGTATTTCTTCCTTCCACCCACCTACAGGACTAACGCTATGGAGCTCTTTCTCCAGGCAGGGACCGATCAATATGCTGGGCACAACTGCAGGGAAACATGGTCCCTCCTCTTAAGATGCAAACCCCAGTGGTGGCCCTCACTCAGGTATTGGCATCATCTAGGTGATACATTAAAACCCAGGTGCCTGGAAATGCTGGTTTAGGGTTCTGGTTGGGTCCCAGCATCTGCCTTTTGCACAAGTCTCCAGTCACTCCTAGGCATGGCCAGGCTCAAGAAACCCAGAATAGTATAGCCGAAGGACAGGTGCCCCAAAGTATGGCAGAGGGTCTTGAGGAGGGACAGTCATACCCAAGAGGACCACTTGGTTCCCAGGCCAAGAGGCAGAGAGCACATAGTCGGGACCTGTACAGGGCAGGAAGAGACAGCAGATGCTAAGTCCCCATCCTGGCCTTCAGAATGGGGAGAAAAGGGGGCCCGTGGTACTTTGGGGACCTCATCGGCACCTGGGGCCACCTGGCCATACTTGGTTCAGGAGCTTAGGAGGGAAGGATGGCTTCATAAGGGGGGGGTCACAGACCCTTAGAACAGGGACTGGGGGGACCTGGAGGGTGTCCATTCCAATCACACACATCAGGAATCTGAGGCTGACAGAGGGACAGCACAAGGGCCTTCTGACTCCTACTACAGGGCAGTGGCGATAACCCCTATCCCACATCTTCCTTGGGTAAAGCAAAATGCTGTTAGTTTTTTTTTTTTTTTTTT